TTTTATGGGTTCTAATATTTTTTAATATTTTCCAGCTATTAGTCCCGAGGAGTAGTTGGCAAAATTTCTCTCTTCACTTTGTTGGCTGTTTTATTTGCTGTGTAAAAGCTTTTTCATTTGATGTGATCCTATTTGTTGATGCTTAGTATTATATTTTGTGGACTCGAGGTTCTGTTTAGGAAGTCTTCTCACCTCTGCCTATGTCTTCGAGACCTTTATTATATTTTTCTTCCAACAGATTTTCTCTATATACACACATACACACACATATAAATTCTTTAATCTATTTTAATTTGATTTTAGTACAGGGTGAGGTATGGCTTTAGATTTATTCTCTTGTATATAGGCAGCCAGTTTTTCCAGCACTATGTGTTGAGGCTGTCTTTTCTCCGACCCATTTTATTGGCCCCTTTCTCAAAAATCAGATGACTGAAAGTTCCAGTGTTGTTTCTGCACACTTGCATTGGTCCGCGGGACTATCGTGCTGGTACCATGCAGTTTTATTACTGTAGTTTTGTAATAGAACTTGGCAACCGGGACTGCAATGTTGCCTGTTTTGTTCTTGTTGCTATTTTGAGTCTCTTCTAGTTCCATATAAATTTTAGAACTTTTTGTTTAGTAAAAAAAGTAAACTTTTTTTTTAGTTAGTAAAAAAATGCTCTTGCTAGTTTGACTGAAATTTCATTAAACCTATCTATTATTTTTGATAATATGGCCATTTTTACATTTTGGTTCTGCCTATCCAAAAATAGAGAATGTCTTTTTCTTTTCTTTTCTTCTTCTTTTTTTTTTTTTTTTTTTGGTACTAGGAATTGAACTCAGGACCTTGTGCTTGCCAGACAGGCGCTTTTGTCACTGAGCTATATCCCAGCCCTTCTATTTTCTAAAGTCCTTCAATTTTTTTTTTTAGAGCACTAGTCTTCATTATGATATTTTCATTTTCTTTGTTAGGTTAATTTTTTAAGTACTGAATCTGTTTAAAAGTGATTATGAATGGGATCATTTTCCTGGTTTCTTTTTCATCATCAGTGTACAAGAAACACTATTGATTTTTGTGTTTAATTTGTATTCTGCCACATGGCTGAATTGATTTATTAGTTCTAAGTCTTCTGGTGGAGGTTTTTGGATCTTTTTAAAGGATCATATCATCTATAAATAAGGATAGTTTGACTTCTTCCTTTCCTTTTTCTTATTTTATGAAAAAAAATTTCATAACAAAATAAGAATAGCAATAGTTAATACACCATGTATCATCATCAAAGTAGTTACTCAATACAAGATACAGACTTAAAAAAATACTCTTACAAAGAAGAAACATAATAGTGCAAAGCTTTCTTTTCAGTGGACTAATAGAAACTAGTAATATAAATGAAATAAATTAGAATATATGTTAAAATATTTTGAAATAGTAGAATAGGTAATTTGGGAAATTATTTGAAGTCCTTATTTATCTTCTATTTTGGTCTTTATTTGTGTGTATTTTAAAAAATTTCTTATGTAAGAGAAATCATGTGATGTGTGGAAAGTCCTTAAACAACTAAAAGTAGAAATTCCTTTTGACCTAGATATCCTCTTTCCATATCTTCCCAAAAGATTTAAAATCATCCTGTTATAGGGCTCTGCAGATACCCTTGTTTATAGAAGTACAGTTTATAATAGCTAGATTGTGGAAATAGCATATCTGTCCATCGACAGGCGAGTGGGTAAGGGAAATGTTTACACATAAGGAAGTACTACTGTGCCATAAAGACAGATTTGAGGCTTGCCACTTGAGTACGTCTTCCCTTCCAATTAAATCCATTTATTTGTTTTTTCTTGTCTGATTGCTCTGGCTAAAATTTCAAGTACTGTATTGTACAGGAATGATTATGGACAGGCTTGTCTTGTGCTTGATGTTAGAGGGAATGCTTTTAATTTTTCCACATGTATTATGATGTTGGCAGTGAGTTTCTCATAAATGGCTTGTGTCAGTTAAAGTTAGACATCTCTAATTCTTGTAGAATTTATAGGTGATAATACTGGAGGCAAACATAGAACCCATATTCTTTAAAAAACATCCTTTTTTCTACTGGTTTTTATAGAAAATACTCAATACTCCCATACACTACCACAGCAAGTCGAGAGAACCTGATAAATTCGTTGGAAATTCAAAACTCTTCTCTTTAACCTCTTTTTGACTGCCCTGACAGACTTTTAATTTATTGGAAATTGCCAAGGAAAATTTCTTTTAGATTCAACTAGTTTTGGGCTTTGATGATTTGTATTTCACTGTTAGGAATTAAAAGTTAATCAACTGAGAATAATAATTGTTGCTGGGTGTGGTGGCTCACGCCTGTAATCCCAGCACTCAGGAGGCTGAGGCAGGAGGATCATTTCGAGTTCGAGACCAGCCTGGGCTACAAAGTGAGCTCAAGGCCAACCTGAACTGCATAGTGAGACCCCGTCTCAAAAAAAAAAAAAAAAAAAAAAAGATCGTCTCTTTCTAAACTCAGGAAAAGAACTTTTCACTTTGCAAACTTGAATCACTTGATACCCAAGGATACCTTTACTAAAGAAAATCACAGAAGAGAAAAACATGGTAGGTTTACTACTTTTACTGTCAAATGCATGCTTTTAGTGTGGATTTTAGTTTTCGTTCAGGAAATGATAGCTTGTCTCTTTTTCCTTAGTTGCTCCTACTAACTAACTGTTGTGCAGCGATAACTGCTTACGCACTGACTCTCAACACATCCTGATGTGCATGGTAGCTTCTCGTTGTTATTCTAGGTGAAGAACCGAGGTCCTCATGGGTTTCAAGTAACTTGAGCAAGTAAGACCCAGTTAGCAGCCACTGACTTGGGCTTTGAACTAACTGTTGTAGATGAGTGATGAATCTTTTTTTGAGCCTACAAGGTAGCTGGATGTTATTTTTCAGCATTTTTAAAGATAGTGAAAAGACAATAGGAACTTAACGACACCACCCAATTACAAGTCAGGTATTTTACTCTACGTCCTTTTCCTAGAAATCCTGTGTATTTTCTTTTCATCTAGTTGTGTCAGAACCTTTTTTGTCTAGGATGTGTCTTAGAGAATATTTTAAGCATTCTAGAAGTGGAATCAAACCCTGAATTAAAATAATGAATAACCATATTTGGTATGATCACATACTAGTATTTCACAAAAACAGAACCTTATTTGTTATCTTAGACTTATGCAGACCTGTTGCTTTAAATGCTTTAATAAAACATGTTTCCCCCCCCCCACTGAGGCTTACTTTCCTCCCCAATCACTTTAATTATGTGAACTAGAATCTTGTTTCTCACACATCTTCAGTTCTCTACCTTGTTAAAATTAATCATATAATCCCCCTTTAAAACATAGTATTAAATCACCATAGTAACACAGTATCCAGGCTTTATAGATAAAACATAACAGCCATAAGAAGGTAGCGTTTGGTGTCCCCTTGACAGCTCTATAACTTTTATAGAAATGTGTTCCTTTTCCTGGCTGTGTAAGGTAGAGGGATAGCATTACTTACACCTGCTTTATTACCACGTTGCTTTTAAATTGCCACCTTGTTTTTGTTCACCTTCCTAGTTAAATAAGGAGAGTGGAACTTTTTTTTTTTCAAATTATTTTCCTGAACTCGCTAACCACTCTCCAAGGGATGGAATTGCTTCCTTAAATATAACTAGGCAAGGTTCCTGACCTTTGTAGTGGGATACCTTGAAAATTCCTTGAATTTTAGTTGTGTTTTTTTTCATGTAAGGGAGTTTTAGAAAATTATCCTATATATGAATCTTAATTTGTATCATATCCAAAGACTCAATAAGAATTCTGCTTTGGAAAAGGGCTGGTAAACCATGATTTTTCATTTCTATTGATAATTTATAATGTAAATTTATAGCATCAACTTAGTATTTTATCAATTAGTAAAATTCAGTATGATATGTACAGTACAATATGTTAATGAATCTGTTTGGACAAATCAGTGTCAAATTTTAAAATATTTTAGAGTTAATTTATTAAAATGTTTAAGTTCTAAAAGAGAACCACGTGTCAAGGTAACTGGTAAATAGACTTAAATCGATTAAGTGGACTTTTTATTACTTTATAAGTTTCTAGATTATTCTGATTAGCAATATACTTTCTAAATTTTTAAGTATTTTCTACTTTACTTTGCTTTTATGTATAGTCCATTTTTTATTGATTCAGGAATTTGTACTTTTAAAATGCTGAAAGTATTGTTTTAATTTCTTAGGATTTTGCAGTGCTTAACATCTTGATACTTCTGTTCTCTAAAGTAGAAATATGTTCCTCATAAATTCAAAAATTATAAAAGACATAAGAACTTAGGGTAGTGACAGCTAGCCTTGTCCCTTTTTCATTCCAGTTTGAATGGCAGGTCTTCCTTTTAGCAGCTATCTGAAGTTGACTGAGCACCCTACCTATCTATTCTGTCCATTTGTACTTTTTCTGTAAAATGGTAGCATCACTGAAACCCCAGGTTGTTGTGCCTGACACATAGTAGACACTTAAGTTTGCAACTGTAATTACTGTAGTTTGTGCACTGCTGGGGCCTTCAGGTGATCATTGTTAGCAGCAAGCTGGTGGCGTGGCCAGCAGAGTTAGGCATGGCTCAGAACCCAGTTAGGATGCTGGGTTGAGCCTCTCAACTCGCCTCATCCATAAAACAAGGTGAATAGAATGCACCTTTCAGGATTGATGGACTGATCAACTGAGCCACTGTAGGGCCTAAACTCAGTAAGGGGAAGGCATGAAAGTGCTGATGATTTGATATTTGGTGACTAGAACAGAGTGGTAGCTTTTTATTTCTTGCTTTTTTTTTTTTTCAAACTAGCTTGCAGTCTGTTCCCTTGAAGTGTGTAATTTTAAGCTCATTTATAAAGAGTTTCACTGAGGGAGGAAATGGTACAGGTTCAACGACTTGTCGTGATTAGATACTTTATCAAGAAATTTACTGCTCCTTCATCTCTCCCTTTGTTCTGTCATTGCTGCAGCCTCACAGTTAGCCAAGTTGGCCAGAATTTCACGTTCGTGCTCACTGACATTGACAGCAAGCAGAGATTTGGGTTCTGCCGCTTATCTTCAGGAGCCAAGAGCTGCTTCTGTATCTTAAGGTAAGGGAGAAGGGCTTCAGCTATTGGCTAGTTCTGCAAAACAATGTCAACGTTTGCGTTATTCTTCTATAATTAAATTTTCCAGCTGTTCTCTTTATTTCCCTATCTGTTCCCCACAAGTCACTGCACTTGGGGAGAAGGACTTCGCAGTGTTGCTCTTGCACTTGCAGTTCTGCAGATAATTGTATTTATTTATTTGTATCACAGCTCTTGGGTGGGAAGGGACGATTGCTCCTATGGAGTGGGAGAAGCCTGAGAGTCAGCATAGCTCAAGTTCCCCTTGCCGTTATCTGGAGCTGTCAGAAATTAGCCTGTTAGACTTTGCTGTGGACATTTTGTGTATGTAAGATTATTAATAAAGTATGTGTCTGTAACTTGGGATGTCTTGCAGATGCGAATGTGTCCTCCTTGAAGTAACACCCGTGGCCCCTTTGGGTCAATGAATGAATAATGCTTCATTCCCAACTTGGCAACCTCAGTAAGATCTGAAAAAAGTGTAGACCCCTATGAGAAGGCTTTTTCAGGCTTCTGAGATGCTTCACACACCAGAGCCATACTTGCTTAATGCTCTGTTTCCTCTTCCAGAGGGGAAAGGCACATTCTGGGGTGGGAGGATGTGTGGAAATCCTATTTTGGAGCTGCTGGCTCTGTGGGCTCCTGCTGGGCGTCTCCTGCAGGGGGGAGGTAAAGGCATCCTCCGCACTCCTTCCATCTGCCCCGGTTAAGTAGGTGTCAGGGACCTGCCTCCTGTCTCTCTCTGCTCATGTGCAGCAGGGCAGTGCAGCAGGAAGGCGCCCATGACAAAACCCGGGCCCCAGACTTGGGCCTGGGCCTGGGGATAAAAGGATTCCAGAAAGGGTAGTTCCCTGCTGTCCTAGCCTGCACTTTCTCTATCTTCTCGCCAAGGAACTGGCCCCATCTTCTCTCCCTCATACCTACACACCCACACACATTAGGGCATGAGAGGCTGATGTTTGAAGTTGCTTTATTCACTGTCTGTCCTACTATATGCTTGTGTTTCTCTATATAAATCTTAGAATCATCCTTCTCAATCAAATAGGTCAACTCTTTTCTGCATCGTACAGTTTTTCTAATTTGGGTGTCACAGGTCAGCTGGCTGCTGGAGAGCTCAGAATGTGAGTAGGACCTGGAGCTCTTGGGAAAGGAATTGAGCATAGCTATTCTCAAGCCATCTGAGTAGTCCAGACCTGAGGACTACCTGTCAGGACTACTGGTGCCACCAATCCTTTATTCCTTTATTTAACAGTAATGGTCTTTTTTTTCCCTCCTTCTTCTCTTTCTCCTCCTTTCTTTCTCCTCCACCTCCTTCTTTTTCTTCTTCTTTTTTTTTTTTTTTGGTAGTACTGGGAATGGAACTCACAACCTTGCACTTGCTGGGCAGGCACTTGTGCCACTGAGCTAAATTCCCATCCTGGTCTTTTATTTTTTTTAAAGAAAAATTTTCATTTTTGGCCAGGACACTGTATATTTATACTGTACCTTTTAGGGAATGAAGGCCTTAACCCAGGTTCTTGAAGTTTTGCAGAAAGGTTTTCCCCATGTTTTAGGTTACATTATGTCTTTCTTTCCAAACTGGAATGTGTGCATGTGCGCACGCTTGTGTGTGTGTGTGTATGTATGTATGTATACATACTGTAAATTAGCACTATCCATGAATTCAGCAAATTTCTGAGAGGAGGAAACTGTTTATGTAAACATTTACATTTAATGGGCTAGCTCAGTAATATGCAGGCTTAATAGGGAGAAGGGCTGAGGTCAAGCCCTAACGAGAGAGAGAGGGAGAGGGAGAGAGAGAGAGAGAGAGAGAGAGAGAGAGAGAGAGAGAGAGAGAGACGAGAGACACGAGAGAGACAGAGACAGACAGACAGGCAGAGGCAGAAAGATGCAGGCTTAGTAGGCAGAAGGGCTGTGGTTAAGCCCTAACGACAGAGAGAGAGAGAGAGAGAGAGAGAGAGAGAGAGAGAGAGAGAGAGGGGCAGAGGCAGAAGCAGATAGGCAGGGAGAGAGATTAAGATTTAAACTGCCTTTCTGTGATTCTGGCATTTGATTTTATATGCCCTTATGTAAGGTCACATATTTTGTGTTTTTGAGAAGCCAGTTGAATAGCCTTAGTGTTACTGTTTTAGAATTAAGAATAGCAGCAATCTGTATGTTTCCTCACTGTTACACTCACTTGGAACCATGGAGAAATCTATGGTGGGTTAATTCATTTCTTTGTCAGCCCTTAATTGAATGCCTACTGTGAGCTGGTCCTTGCCCTTGAGGAGTTCACAAACTCACCAGGGAGATGGATGAGCACAGACCACTGTTATATATATAATACACAGGATGATCTTAAGGTGTAGTCTTTTCTTGCTATTGACTATCTAGTACTAGAGGATAGTGACTGTAATTAAAAGTAAACTGTCTTACATGAATTCTGAAATGTACATTTTGTGAGTATCTTAACATGTACATGGGCATATGCATGGCACATCCCATGTGTGTGATTTAAATGTTACTAAATAAAGAGTTGAAAGTGTGTATTAAGAGTTGGAAGGGTCTGCTGTTGGTGGCATGTGCACAGGGGAATGCAGATGTCTACCTGGAGACTGAGGGCAGTTTGGACTGGTTAGATAATTAGCATGGTCAAAGTTAGTTTCCCTACTTTCTTCTGAAGTTTTCCCTTTAATTAACCTGTGCCTAGAGGTATAGTCACCCTTCAGGGTATACCCACTGCTACAGCTTAAGTGTGAGCCACTTCTGCTTTCACTTTTTATTCTTCCCATGACGGATCTAGCTCCTCCCAGTAGCAGTGTCTTTGTAGACCCAGCCTCTGCTGTCCCTGAATTTAACTTCTTAGGATCAGTTCTTTTCTGCCCATTCTCCCAAGCTTAAATACTATTTGGCCCCATGAGCCAAAAAGTAACCTCTTTGACTTTGCACATCCCGCTCATCCTCGCAAAGTAGTTTTCCTCAAGCAGAGGTCATCATTCCTCTTCTGAACATGTCCTGCATGCTTTGTGTAGCTCAGTTACACATTCACAGACTTAGAGAATGACTGGACTTTCTCCTACTGGACAGAAGGTGCGTTATGGGTAAAGACCTTGTCTTACTCAACTATGGATTTCCAGCATGTAGAGCAGTGCTCACCTAAGATCCTGTGTGTGTGGCATTGAGAGAAAGGGAGATGCATTCAGAATGGAAAAACAGGGTGGTGAAAGCACTGAGTGAGAGGTTGTGTCTTTTGGGACATTAAAGAGGAAACCTGAAATGCAGTTACTGGCAGAAGCATTGTTCACTTCATACTAGCTGTAAGTGGGGTACATTTTAATATCCGAGGGACTTGCAAATGTTGGCTGACGTGCCTTGTATCCATAAAGGACTGGGTCATTCATACTACAAAATTTAAACATAATTTTATAATGAAAGATTCTTAGATATCCTTATATAATAAAACCCATTAGGTTTATTTTTAATGTCTTCCTCCTCACTAGAACATAAGCCCTGTGAAGACCAAAAAATTTTATCATCCTGCTACCGCAAATATGTGAAAAGTCAAAAAGCATATCTGGTGCATCATGAGTACTTAGTAATACTGTTTTATCAAAGAATGAGTCCCTGGGAAACCTGTTTAATTTTTTTCTTCAAGTAAGGCTATACTGTTGTACCAACTAATCTTAGAAGAATTGTCGTTGTGAGAATAAGTCACAGTAACACACATACCACTATAAAGTCAAATGCATTATTTCCTGCCATGGTTGACTAGTTCCTGCCATTAAAGGATTTTACTTCTCCTTGAGATTCACTATAATATTTTAATGAGTTGCTGGATGGTAGTAGTTAATGCTAAATGAAAAACATCAACTAGGAGAACAATAGTTATGGGCAAGTTAGCTGTTCTTCATGGTAAGTTCAGGAAAGTGAGTGTTTTAGCATTTTCAGGTTGTGCCATTTGGGCCTGATATGTCATACATATTTATCTCAAAAATTGTTCCAAGTTATAAAATTAAAGTGAGCTAAGGCTAAATTTTTTTCACGATTTCCAAATTACTCACCTGGCACATATCTCAACAAGGCTGGAGCTATAACAAAATACGCTATTTTTAGCCAACTTCTGGTTTGGTGTCAAAGATGGAACATACAAGTTGAGAGTCAGTTGTTGTTGGGCATTGATAAAGATAAGTCACACAAAATTTAAATTTCTTTAATCTTTATAAAGAATATTTATAGGTAATTGTATTCTACAATTTCTCAATTATGTATAGGTATCATATTTAAGCTCTTGAAAAAACTCGAATAACTACCCTTAAATTCAAATAAAACAGGTCAGAATCTATTACATACTTTGAGAGCAAGTAATTTAAAGGTGTAATTTAAAATTTTGGTTTACCTTTAAACATTCAATTAAAAAGTATCAGAGTACCTAATATATATCTGAAACAAGCAAAACGTAGCACTTGGTGATTGGCTTTTATTTACTCATTCCTCTAAAAATAGATACAAAGATCTATCCCCCACTCTGTATTTGAAAAGTGTTTAGTTACCTTGTTCATCCAAGATTTGATAAGCTGATCTTGACATTACAAAATGAAAACAATATTTTTTGTCATTTACCAAAGCTAAGGTTGACTGTGCTTCTAGGTACACTGTTTCCAGGTTTTTATCTCTGGGTTTTACAACTACCTGCTGTTTCCCTTTAGGAGCCACTCAGTGCAGGGCAAGGAAATATGTAAACAAATCATTTAAGTGTGATATGATACATAAATGTTTTTTTTAAAAACATCAGTGTAAGTTTCTTTGAGTTCACAGATTAGGCCGTGCTCATCTGTAAATTGGAGGATCAGAAAAGTGTCACTGATGGATTCCAGTTAAAGAGGGCCTACAGGAGGAGTGCACACTTACCTGGAGGTGAATGGGGGAAAAGCTCTGTATGCAGTGAGTGTGCAGAGGTTCTGAGTAAAGAAAGTTGAAATGACAGAAGCAAGAAATCATCCCAC